AGCGGAAAATTCTTTTCTAATTCTATTCTCATTTCGTTGTGTTTGCTGCATTATTACTTATAAAACTACACATTTTACATTTAAATTAGTTTTTTATTTTTTTAAATGGCATTACTAATGATTAATTTAGAAGTCAAACAACAAAAATCAGTGATATATTTGCAAATTTTCACAGAAGTAGTTTTAATGGTTTTACCGAACTGTCAGCCTCAGCTGCCAAAGTGCAAATGAATGAGATAAAATATAGTGAAAAGGTAAGATAAGAAAAGAATTGCTGGACAGGAGTTAAGCTACTAGTCCCATCTATTAACGAAACAAGAAAACTAAAACATAATTTTCCTAAAGGCTGAAGGTAAAGATAGATTGGAATTAGGGTCGTTAACTAGAACAGGAAGATTTTTTTTAATGTGAAATGCCTCTAGAAAATCTAATTCACCAATAGAAGATGTTTTTTGAATAATTTTGGTTGCAGAAAAAAGGAAAGTATAATTTTTGGAGCCGATCATTGTTTCTATTTCAGCAAAAGTTTCTACTAAATGTATGAGCTCTGTGGTTTGTACAAACACAAAAGCAGATTATTGATTGATTGTGGATGTTAGACCAAACATACTGTTTGATTAATTGAAACATTCCAACAATTTTCTATTTGTTCTTTTATACGTATGAGTTATTAATTTGCCACTCAAGTCACTTGTAAATGGAAGTTTATATCCAGTACACAACATTTCCATTAATTTTATAAAGTGAGAGTTTTCTACACTATGAAACGATGTATTGGTAGCATTAAAAAATTTTACCTGGTTGATGATCTATTTTAAGAAGATGGTCTCTGTACAACATATTAACATAGACTTGATGATCTGTTTTAGATTTTGGTAAAAATGATGTTTTTTACTACTACATATTTTCTTAGATCATACATCATGTTTTGAATTATGGCTTCTTCAAGTATTTTAAACAATTTTGCTTTTTAAAAAAGTTTCTTAACATAATTAAAATCTCTTTAAAAGCATTACAGATTAACTTTATTTTAATTGATTTCCCATTATTTAAAAAAAAGTGAGAGAATATCTGATTTTAATCGGTGATTTTTTTTTTTTTTCGAATCTAGTGATTAGTCATTGACACCATGAACAAGAAGATAAACTAATTACCATATTTTCTGTAGCTTGGTTTGAAAACCAGGTTGCCTAAATAATTACAACACATCATTCAGTAAACGACTAGCTATTCATATTTCATGTACTAATTAATAATGTAAAATATTTACAAATGGAAGAAACAGAGTTATGTTGTGTATGTAATATTTCATTCTAAAATATTAAGCATAGTAGGAATCTCCAACATGTCCTTAAGCCATTGCATTTTTAATAGTTGGCAGTGGCATACCTTTTGTTTTGTAGTTATGTTCTAAATTTAATTTAGATTTTTAAAAAATTTTGGCAGAAAAATGTATCCAAAAAGAGATCTTGGTTGGTAAATTTATTCTTTAATGTTTCTACAAATTTTGCCTATAGAAGAATGGAACGTTTTGCTAAAGCAAAATAAATGTTTTACTAATTTTTACTGATTTTTTGTAATGAGAACCATATGAAATGTTAAATTCTGTATTTGTGAAATATTTTAATGATATAAAAACTGTTTTCATAGCATTTTCTGTTTTATTTTGATAAAATTTGCGATACAGAGTGCAAGTCTAGAATCAGTATTTAAAGAAAGAGCCTGTGAGCTATATCCCCCCCACACCAATACATGTTTTATGCATGTAGAATTCATTTTGATATGTTGTGTTTGCTCCAGAATAATCACAGAACTGAAACTAATCATTTATTTGAAATACTGATATTATTGTTGTGTTAAATTCCTATTTATTATTATTTCATGAAATTCATATGTTAATTTTATTACGCTTGTGCTAAACAAATAAGCAGCAAACATCGAAAGAAAAGGTACGAATGTAAAAAGGGAATTAAAGCATTCAGTTTACATACGAGTGAGAGGTTGCATCACTGAATGCAAATAGACAACCAAAATTAGCATCAGTGCAATCTTGCATTGATACTAATTTTGCTAATAAAAATGCTATCTTGCAGTTACACCACAGTGCCTTCAAAGGAGGCATTTCAGACCTATGCGTCAGTTCACAATCAGCGATATTTCCATGTAATTCGAGATAGTCAAAGTGGAAAGCATAAGCCAAAAACATCATTTGCAAGATGAAATGCATGGAAGGGTGGTCAGGATGTGGCAATACAATTCACTGTTATAAGAGAGCTGAATGTGCATCGTAGTGTCATCAGCACACTGTGAAATTATTACCAAAGGGATAAAAACCCCTGTAGGAGTTGTGGGTCTTGGCGCCGGGGATTACCACAATGGCAGACGATCACTTGTTATTGCTATGTACAAGACACTGTAGATCACTAATAATCACTAATGACAATTGGCATTGCATATGTCTGCTGCTGCAGGATGGCCCATATCCTGCCAAACTGTGTTGTGTCAACTGCATGAAGGTAGTCTGTATGCCCGACAACTTGTGGTTTGTGTTCTTTTGTCCTCATCGCATGTCAGAGCACAGCTGAATTGGGCCCATGAACGTTTCATTTGGACAACAGAGCAGTGGAGGATTGTACACTTTGCAGATGTGTCTCGATTTAATATCCAGAATGATGCCCAAAGTACGGGGATATGCTATTAGGTGCCAAACATTGTCAAAAGAGACCATTACAGAGGAGGAAGCTTACTTGTATGGGCTAGGATAGTAATAAATTGCCGCACCGACCTCTAAGTGATGCATGGTGATTCCATCACAGCTGTCCAATATTACGATGAAATTCTGTACCCTCTTATATGTTCTTTTATCACTGCAATGAATACCGATGCGATATTTATGGACAATAACACTTGCACACATAGAGCTTGAGTGGTATGGAGTTATCTGGAGAGTGAAACTATTCCACATCTGTCTTGGCTTGCTAGATCACCGGACCTGAATCCCATAGAACATAAGTGAGACATACTGGGACGATGGACTGCAGTATGCTACCAGGCACCTTGCACAAGCTCTGGCATACATTACTACAGGAATGAGCGTAAATGATCAACAACACTATTGCCAACTTGCCTCAGTGCTGTCAAGCATGCATTTCATCTAGAGGTTATCATACCTGTTATTAACATGATGTTTCTAATGAACGTTCTTCCAACCCATTTAGTCTTCAGCAATGTGATGGTCATAATACATGTGTTTTCGTATGTCTTTGCTATATTATTTGTACTAGTAATGCCATACCAATGTCTTGGATGAATTTCACCATTAAATAGTTTTTATTTCATTCCATGTTTTGCCTTTGTTGCTTATTTTTTAGCAGGAGTGTATTTGTTCATTTAAGCTTTATATGATACTAAAACGCCCAGTTATTTTTATAAATGAAGGTTTTAAGAAATGCAAAAGGTTTTAGAGGCTCATCTTGCATAATAAAAAACTACACTTAAAATTATCTAGCACCTTTTTTATCTCATTTGTTATATTATGTTTGTAATATATCACTATCTCATATATTATATTAATTATGTGTTACAGTCAAAAGTCGTTAATTCGGACACCCATAATCTGGAATGATCTAGAATCCGGACCTCAAAGCTACAAACTTTCTGCGCATGCATTGCATTGACGCATGCGCGTAAGACCTTTACGGCTGTGAATATGCGTGTGCGCATGCGCATAATACGTTTACCCTTGCACGTTTAATGTATAATGGATGGTATAAGCTAAGCTAAAATTATCTAATTCAGTTAATGTTGCAGATTGCGTTGTTCCTTAATTTTCGAATTTGATCCGGCTTATTATTTTTTGCAGACTGTTAGAGCAATTTTATAAAAATAAGCTTGAACTTTCGATTATGTCAAATAGAATTTCCGAAATATATTTACTAATATGTAAGGGATCTACAAAGCGAAAGTATGTTTCGAAGTCCATTAAACAAAAAGTGGAATTGCTGCAAAAAATGGATAAAGGCATATCCTTCGTTTCTCATTCCGAAATCTGTTTATCAATCTCACGCTGCTCTGCGGGGGGGGGACGCCGAAACACCGCGGCGTGCAATGAATTGGAAGTTAATCTGTCAGCACTATCCATATCTTCAGGGCAGATGTTTTTATTTTATTTGGCTTATAATTCCTTACTAAATGTAGTATTTCATCTCGATGTACTCCGTCTTTGATATGATTTAAATCAAATTCCCCGTCATTATAATTCGCTTCCGATAAAGAAGAAAGTGATACAGAGGTTATTGAAAACGAAAAATTTAAATTGACAAATTAGTCGGTATTTTCGACACAGCAATTATAGGACTTGAACAATGGAACTGTGTAACTGAAGAAGAAATTATGTCTGTTTATAGAATTAAAGAGAAAGTATTATCACATAAAACGAAGCAACTTAAACAACTTACATTGAAAGAAATGTTTAATAAATTAAACATATAAATATTAAGTTTTTTTTTTTTTTTTTGTAAATTTTGATACCCTTTAGATCATAATTGTTCTTAATTTCATAATTACGATTTCATATTTTTAATTTTATAATTTCTGCATGCCATCTTACCAGATTTAAACTGATGATCTATAATCCAGAATCGCCGAAGTCCCGACGAGTTCGGATTAACGACTTTTGACTGTATTACAATATGTACTGTTTTTCACAGCATAACATCATGTCCTCTTTTTTGTATTAAAAAAAAAAAAAAAAGTAAAATTTCTTGAAGCTACGTATTTAAATTTTTTAATTGTAATTAAGTAACGACATGTACTATTGTAGCTCTAATAATCTTCGTTAGGAGAAGCATATTTTTTATGAATCTTTCAAGTAGCATAAATTGTTTATTTACATTTTTTATATCAATTTCTTTAAAAAATAATGAAAAATTCTTATTTTTATATTACATTTATGTGTGAATTTGCGAGATATGTTAATAAGATGAATTTCATTATTTTAGTGGATTATTCCTGAAATGATAGCTCAAGGCATAATTACTGTTCTTTTGTTAATTGAGTGGCATTGGATTTTATTTCTTATAAATCTACCTATGACTTGCTGGCAAGTTTATAAGTAAGTATGCTTCGCAAATTATCTGTTTTTCTAAACCTTTTCAAAGAAACATGCCTTTGCAGTTTAGTATCATTCTGTGCCGTATGTATCTAGACATCTGCAATGTTTATTGTTTCACATCACTGAAGAATGTATTAATGCAAAATCTGTATAAATATATTTTAATGGAGATGGAATTTTATCCTCCAAACCGCTAGCTGCTAACTGAATTTAATTTCTATCATAGTTTTATTGCATAATTGGTTGAATCCTTATTCTTTTAGTTGATGACTAAAACGGAGCTGTTACTCAAAGGAATTGTAATAATTGATTCCCAAGATAAGTGCAAATCAGTGAACTTTACATTTGTGTATTCATACATACACTTAAAATCTGCATGGTGAGTAATTTATGCCAATAGAACAACACTTTTACCTAATACTCAACAGGAGGTTGTTTTGGTACAGACACACTATGACAAAATGTGCTTCTTTCAGTACCCTCTACCCATCATTACATTTTTTAATTCATCCCGTGTACAGCACTGCCTCACATAGTTTGGGTAATCAGTTTCCTCAGTATCTTGGATTGTTTGGAAAGCAGATCAACACAAAACTAAACACATAACAATTCCCCCCCAGTTCTAGTGTTGAAAAGGATGTCCCTTGGATTGTTGCCAAATATCAGTGGGTTCTGGTTTTGTGGTAACTATAAATTGGCTCTGACAACCATTTTTGTATGTTATCAATGTATTTCTTAAGTTTAATCCGATCAGATATTCTTTGTTCAGCGGTCAAGGCATGTGTGATACCTACACACCAGTGTGCATATGTATTCCATGCTATGTGTATTGCTTGTTTTGAATTTTGACCATATTTTGATTTATGTGAATTTCAACCGCCATTAATTGGTCGTTGGTTTTCATCAGCTGGCTGTGGCTTGTTCTTAATTGATCACTGTCCTGTCGTTTCTACAAAAAAACTATGTCTGGTGAGATACTCATTTTTTTTCCATGATGTAGAGCAAAAAAGGTACAAAAGTCATTATTCATTTAAGAATAATAAGCAAAAAAAAAAAAAAAAATTAGGAGTTGAAACTGTGGTTATATCAATGTCAGCTTTGTATTTCATTTTCTTGTCGCGATATACATCTTGGGTATTCTGAAAGTGAATTTTAACCTAATTCTGTTTATGAATTTTCAGTAAATGATGAATTAATTTACTGAGTTTAAAAATTGTTTCCCATCCTTGAAACATCACTAAACTTTATCTGAAATAGGATTAAAAAATTATTCTATAATTGGAAGTTACAATGAAAGACAAAACATTGCTAATAAGAAACTAAATAATGATGTTATTTATTAGCTTAACACAAACAATATAATTGTTATTAACTATGTTATTTTAGTTAAGAAAGGGCATTATTGTATGTTTGTAAGTAAGTAATATATTTAATAATTTTAACAATCCTGTATAAGTGATGAGAATATGAAAAACAGAATATTTCTCTTCTACGGGTATTTTTCTCAGTTCATTTTTTTGAAGCGGTAAATTCTAAATGTCTTGTCTGAATAGACCATCAGTTGTTCATCCTGAATCAACCAAAGTAAATGCTGTGTAAAGAAGAATTATCAAACAAGTTTTTTATCAGACTAAATATTTTTCTTTCAATATTTTAACACTGATAGTAATACAGTACAAAGTCCGTGATCCGGAATGGTCTAAAATCCAAACCTCAAAGCCACCACCAAATTTTTTTTTTTTTTTTTTTTTTTTTTTAATTTTGTGTGTGTGTGTGTGTGTGTCTGTGTACTTTATTTACGCTTGCACATTTGATTTCCTACCCTCACACATGCATATTAAGACATGTAGAGAGTCTTGATTCTTAATTTCACTTCAGCACTAAATAAAATACCTCGTTATATAATACCATAATAACATACCACGTTATTGAAGAAACAATCATTTTACCATAAATTTGTATAATTATTAATATAGCTCAGTAGCTATGTATCTGCTTGGCATTACATCTCAAACCAAAACGTTCTACATAGATGCATCATTGATTTTATACCTACTAATATTTTATATCCCTGACTCTAATCTGGCAAATCATTATTTATTATATTTTGCTTTCATCACCGCATGTTTATCAACAGATGAGAACTCGAGTAGTGACTCATGTAGCGACACCTAAACATTTTGTAGTAATTGAATAACAAAGAGTATGGTTACCTTTTATGTTGACATTGCGCTTGGTGATGATTACAGATTTAAGTTAAATGCATTAAGAAATGTTGACGGGAAAAATTTAACAAAAATTTCTTTCCATATGTTAAAAATAGATTTTGTTATTGATACTCATAGGCCAAAAGATTACATTTAGTGTTATTTCAATTTAGAATAACTGATTTGTTATTCACATGAACCCAAAACGAGTGCTAGAGCTTGTATGACCGCACCGAGCGGCAGAATTTAGGAAAGACGATGGGAGATGCCTTACAGAATGTAGGACCCGCAGAGACTGAATCAGGCAGTAAGATTTCTAGCACCTGCCCTCAATAAGCCTATTTTGTGGGAATTTATTAATTCAGGACTCGGATAAACCTTAAGTATGTGCAAGAAATAGATGTAAGTGTAATTAAATAACTAAACTAATATAATTTTTTCAGGATTACTTGTCTCAGTGCATGAGAGAAGCACGTTAAAATTTAACAGAACAACTTGTCTTTGGTCGCCAATCTCATGGTACATAGCCAAATATGTGTATTGAACAATAGCTAAATTTTATGATGATAGCCCCAAATCTGAAGGTTCTTGGATATCACAAACCAAAGGTGAAATTTTCTAATTAATGAATTTTATAAAGAAATGTGGAGAAGCGGTAATAAATGAATATGATATGAAAGAAGTTTTTCATTGTGATGACAATACTCCTGGTTCTAGATTAAGAAAATACTGCTACCAATAGTGAAGAAAGTGAGAGAAAGGTTACTGAAAACGAAAAAATCTTGATTGACAAGTTATTCGGTTCTAGGCACAGCAATTATAGGACTTCAACAATGGAACCTGATAACTGAACAAGAAAATATGTCTGTGTATAGAATTAAAGAGAAAGTATTAGCACAAAAAATGAAGCAACTTAAACAACTTGAAATGTTTAATAAAGTAAACAAATAAATATTAAGCATTTTTTTTCTAAATTATGGCACCCTTTAGATCATAAATGCGTCATTATTTCATAAATCACGATTTTTTAATTTTATTATTTCTAGATGCTACCTTACTAGATTTAAACTGATGATCTAATATCTGTAAAAGTCCCAAATCCGGAGTCGAGGAAGTCCATATAAATCTGGATCTCGGATTTTGTACTGTATGTAAAGAATATTATAAGTCTGCTTTAAATGAATGTATAAGACCATTGAATATTGGTCGTTCATGCCTGGTTTTATTCTTGGCAACTAAACAAGTTAGCTGCTTGGTCCTTTTGGGATTTTCCTTTTGTGTAATGTGAATTCAAGCCATGCTCCTATTTAGAAAATTCTGCACAAAGGTGTTTTCTTCAAGCAGACAGCCCTTGAATATTTTAACTGTTCTCCTCTTTTGTAGTGTAAAGAATTAGATCCATCTATTACAAATTTTTCACAAGCTGATGATGATGCGGTTTAAAACAGACTTTTAACATGTCCAGCATTAATTTTGTATTTTAAATTTATTAGTGTCACTAAACCTATTTTTTCCAATAAGTTCACTGCTTTTCATTATACAGATCCTGTAGTTATAATGCATTTTTAATTTCTTTTTATAAACATCTGTATCAGATGATAAGGCATACCCATGGACCGATACATTTGGAAATTTCCCGAGTTCCCGATAGCCACATCCACCCCTATCAGGAATTTCCCCCAGTGACAGTATAAATTACAACAAATCTATGAATGTTGTTTAAAATTATCAGCTGAATGTGTTAGAAATAAAATATATTTTAATTAAATTGATTAGATACCTAATTGAAAATGCCAAGTTTTGGTTTGCTAGATTATGACAAAGCACTCAAGGGCTGTCTGCTTAGTGGGAGGGATGCCTTCATGAAGGTTGCAGTATTCACCTTTCCCCACGTAGACTGTAATGGAAAATACATCAATTTTCCCTGTTTCTGATTGTCTAATTTTTAGAATCTTTTGCATCACTTTCAATTTTTAATCACAATTCTGCTTCTGAGGTATTTAACATGTTTACATATATTGGAAAGCAAACGAAGATTGTCATAAATGATTCAGTTATATTTTACTCATGAAATGTTTCAGACATCATTCAGTAGTCACCTTTATGGTAGCCATAGATAAATGGTCTGTGATTAAAATTTATTACATTTCTATTAAAAAAATTCATCCACTTTGAAGAATTGAGGAAATACAGACTCCTTTATACCCTTATTCAATACATTTTTATCCTGCTAGTATAAGAAATTTCTTTGATATTCTAAAACTATTCTAATACAAAATGCATATAAGTATGGAAATTTCAGATGATTGCAAGATTAGATTTCTTGCTGTTGTAGGAAGCAGTTATTACGTATATTAATTAAAATATTAATTAAAATCTATTATAGCATTTTTGGGGGAGGATTATAATGATGAACACATTACGTAGTATCCGTAGGTTGCCTTCTCTGAGGATTCTTAAAGGGAAAACTGGTTTTATCTACTTTACGTGTGGGGAAAACTATGAAACGTTCCATGCTGCCAACCCATATACAATGGTTTCAATCTCATTCAAACTGCCAATATTCAGCAGCTTTACCAACCGGCTGCTGGTGGTCTATTTCTAACACTCCTATTAGAAAGCTTTGCAAAGTTATCAAAAAGACACACTTGTTATGTAGCTACAGATTCTTTTTGTTCACTTTTAAAAGCATTTTGGATATTACATTTCACATCTTATATGTATATGAAAAAAGAAAATTTAATTATTTCTTTTAACTTTTTAATTGAGATGTTCGCACTTTCTGCATTTCGATGTAAGTGCTCAGTTATTTTCTGCATATTTTTATGCATGTTATCTAATTAGTGTATTTATTTTTTTTAATAGCCATCAAGGAACTAAATTTTTAGACTTAACGAAAAATTTTTTTTACATTTTCTGTTTTCTTGAACATGCCAAATTAAATGCATGTTAATATTGGGGAATAACATGTATTTAAACTTTAGTATTAGCTTTATTTTAGTTCCTGTACTATTTGCTACAAGGGCATGGGCTACATTGCTGCAGAAGTCTGAGTTTCACATTAATTTCTCCTTTCTGTTTCTGCTTGAATTTTAAGTCAGTTTTAAAAATGGGAACTAAGTATTTTTTAGTATAGTATATGCAAAGTGTGTTAAATAACGAAAAGCAAGCAGACACAAGAAATTAGTACATCTACTTAGTTTTAGGACTGAATTCCTTTAAGAAATGATTAAAGGAAAGCTTTGGCACTATTTAATATCCTGCATGCAGCTGTATGTATACTGTACATCTCTTAGTATAGAACTTCTTGATTCCTTCATAGATAGCAACTGTTTGAATCATCTTCTGTCAGGTGCAGAAGACTGTTCATATATATCTAAAAATATATCTATAATGCAAATGTTCCTCAAAATTATAGGGAACAGTGCAATTTTAGTTATTTGTATTTTTTCAGGAAACTGATGGTTCCATCTGGAAATTTTGGTATTTATGATCCTACAGAAATTCATAACCGTGGTAATTTGAAGCAACATATGCGAGATTCTATGATTAGATTAGCCTTTTATTTAATCTTCTTTTTCGTCTACTTGTACTGGTAAGTATATCCTCATTTAGAACACCTATGCATGTATGTGTTCATAAAGTATTTAATTTTATTTTTTTAAATGTTTTTATTAATAATACAATATGCTGTCTGTTTTCTTAAAAATTGTATTCATAATAAAAACCTGACAAATTTAATTATAAGTTTGCTAGGTGATATTGATTTAGATATGATAAATTTTGTGCTTGTTTTAGGTAATTTGGAAATTAAATAGATGTAATAAAGATATGTGCAGCTGTAATATAACATATATCTGGAAAATGATCCTTCGGTAATAAAAAATTAGTTGAATGGAACTTGTGTGTTTTAAAAATAAATTTTTGGGGCTACTATTATGCAGATATTCATGGCAATGTATTTATTTTACCAAGAGGTAAGTTTTTATACTTTCTTCATAATCTTACATTCATCAAGTTGTCATTTGCTGGAACCCACTATTGTCAATCAAGTTCTTTCCACTAAAATCTAGTCATCCTGTATGACAACACTTGATTGCATCCTCATAACAACTGCTTTAAATCATTTATGAGAACCAAACCTATCACCTTGACATCCCCTACAGCTGTTATCTTTTCACAGAATGAAAGAAGCTTGGAGTGGAAACTACTTTGCTAACATTGAAGAGCTGTATTTCTCAATGGATAATCCACAGATGTGTATGCAAAGATTTGTCTCCGAATAACTGCCTCAGTGCAGTGATTGCTTATATTGAACAATACGTTTACTTTCAAAATTAAAGGGTTTTGTTAAACTAACTCCCTTTGCCTATTTTTGCTGCTGAACAGATGCTACTATTAATTGTTAATTGTCATTTAATTTATCAATTAGGAAAAAAGGACGAACAACCTGTTATTTGTTGCTTCAAAATGAGAGGCACAGCATTTTACTGAACAGTTGCCAAAGAGTAGGCAAAGTAAAAACAATCAATTTTGCTGGTTTTGGTTTACTGAGCATGAAAATGATAGTTAAAATTGTTTATTAATTAAGATGTCTGGGAGTGTCTGAAAGGTTGATACTGCAGTCATGATTTATGAAGTTTCTACTTCATCTTAAAGCATTGTCCTGTACTCCATATACGTAAATATGTTACATGTTCTTATTTAATCATATGAGAATTTTTCATAGAATATTAAAATGTTGACTGGATACACAGATGCCTGATAAACACATCTGGCACATTAGCAGACAGATTTGTGCCATTGGGCATGCCAAGTTTTGGCAGAAAATTTTTCAGTGTACCTGAACTAATTAACTCAAGAACTGAAACTAATATTTCAGTTTCATTTGAATCGCCACAAATACAATAGTGAAATGTACTTAGTGCCCATGATACAGAGAGCAAAATTTGTTTTCATTGTTGTGCAAAGCATTTTGTTATCCATGTCATTTTTCACATTTTACTTTTGTAGAAAATCTGTCTTCATGAATTTTTATGGTAAAATTTCGTGTTATTTTTTTAAGGTTTTAGCATAATCTTTATGCTTTGAGAGCTAGTAAATTTAGAGTACAAGAATTTATTAGATTTGATAGAAATAAGAAGCTGTGACAAAAATTGCTCCTAGAGGCAAAACGATACAGCCATAATGACCTGTTTTAAAAGGACATCAGTTTAGAAGAATTAGATATTGCTATTAACACAGATAAAGGAAATAAATGAGCAGGAAATTATCTTATTTTTGGCGAAATGGTTAAACATCTTGGCGAAAAACCATAGACACATCATGGAAATCTGGCAGGCTGCCTAAGGCTTGAAAAATTTCTATCACTGTAGCTTTACTGAAAACAAGTAATTCAGCTATGGAATGCAAGAACTGTAGGCCTATCACCCTCACCAGCATCCTCTGCAAGATGATGGAATTGATTATCCACTCCAGAATCATGAAGATCTGCACAAAAAACAAGAAGATAAATTTCTGTCGGACAACCTACATTAAACAACATTCCACTGAAAACCAATTACCAAAGGGTAGGAAAACACAGAAAGTGTGATAACTGCTGAAACACAATTGAAACTGCACACACTGTTTAGTGTCCAACCATCCTTGCTGAATTGTTAAAAATTGGGTCTTGTATGGCACTATTTAATAGGCTTCATCATAGACATGACAATGACTTAATCCCTCTTAAGCTAGATAAAATTTATTTTCCCTCATGAAACACTTTACAGTTTTAGAACTTTTTGCAAAAGTATTTGTACAGCTCTTCTCAATATGACACAGCACTGTCAGTAGTTACCACTTCAAACTACTAAGAATGTTAAATACAAGACAATATAAAAAACCTCAATGGAGCTGGGACAGTGATCTTTCGATACTCTCAGTGTTCCATGCTTAATTCTGAACTCAACTAAAGTGATGCAGTCTTCAGTCTCGTATAATTTTTCCCTGGCTGCCGAGAAGTTTCCTGTACCTTCAATTTCTCAAAATTGGTCGAAGGCATATATAATTACAGTTACATAGGGATGGGGCCAATTATCCATGTATCAGACCAGAAGTTTGCCTAGTCACCAAAACTATCACCAGCTTGGCACTATGTCACCAGTTAGACGAGATTTACCTCAAAGTTAAATGTTTAACCCCTGTAATGCTGTTTTCCCAGTGGAGTCTTACATTTCTGAGACCTTTCATATTGCATTATACAAGAGATACAATTTACATACTATTTTACTAAAAATATTTACATATATAAAAAATTTGTAACACTGTTATTAACTGAAAATTTCTAGAAAATAGCATTACTAAATAATCTTAAATGCACCTTACTACTGCTACAAGTAATAGTAGAGGTAAAGATTATGGAATTTAATAAATTTTTAAAGATTTTATTCCTCGTGTGGGAATAGTAGGACATAATTGTATTTTTTAACATTTATTGCATTCATAAAATCATATTATTAAGTTTTATTTGGACATGGCAAAGCACACAAGGGCTGTCTGCTTATCAATGAGTGGACTTTGCTAAGGGAAACTCGGTCATATCCATGGTACACCTTGGGAAACCACGAAAAGCACCCAAGTAACCAAACCGTTTATGTGGGCTCCAACTAGGTTCAACCTACTAGTGTTCAGCAACTTAACTACTTGGTTACTGCAGAGAATATGCATGAGTAAGAAAAAAATTTATAGCAATTGTTAGTACTTTGTCCGTCAGTAAAATAAAACTACATTGTAGGTCCATATGTAGTTAAACACTGGTAGTTTGACTCCACTTAATGTGCATGGGTATTTTTGTGGTTTTCGCCATATGTAATGTGTTTTCCATAATCTTTCTTGTTACGTAGATATCCCTTGGTGATTTGTTGCATTCAATTAAACACAGACTATATTTTAAAGAAAGAATTTGAATAAAGTGTTTTTTTATGTGAAAACTATGTGCAAGTTTACGAACTTGCGCTTATTTAGAAAGATACAGTTGTCAAAGTATATTTTAAGAATTTGAATATTTCAGAATAAATTATCTTAGAGAATTAAACGAATCAAAATTTTCTTATATTTCAGTTATTTGATTTCTGCTGTTTCAGTTGTTTTAAGCAATGCTAACTATTCTTAAAATAAGTTTGGCTTTTCAGCAGCTGAACGATAAAGTCGCAGGGCACCATGAAGCCATTTGTGACTAGGCGGTTAGGCCTGGTGTGCTTTGTCATAATTAAGTAAACCAAAATTTCAAACACATCCCCTTATAACTTAATTGCCTCCGAATGCTTCATTCAGATGAAAATTTCAAACAACTCTCTTTAATCCAATTTTTTTTTTATCTTACATACATTATTATTATTCAGTGAGAGGGATATTAAATAAATTGTTTTATTACATGTATTAAGTAAAATGTAAGATTACTGTAAATATTTACAATCAGTTTGTTCATGTTCCAAGCAGCTGTTTATTATGTTACTTTTAATAAAAAGCTTATATTTTTCTCATTAAACTTTAGATACCTTCTCTTTACCTAAATTATACGGTTCTATTACTGAGATATATAGAGTAAATATTTTAGTTAGCTTCTGCTAACAAATTTCTATGTTAGTTCATTTCATTATTTGTATTTATGAACTAAACTCATGCATAAAAATTGCATTTGCATTCCAAATACATTTTTGTTCCCTGTATGCCTTTTTTTGCAGGTAATTTAGCCATTTTAAATATTAATGATGCAGAATAACTTTTTTCCTTGTATTCAGTTACCTTGTAGATTCCAGTAGTTAAACTTCTATGTGAAAACTCGAGTAGCATGAAACTACACAAGAGAAGGGTTAAAGTACCCTTTATTAAATCTTTGAAATTTACAATGTGTCAGCTCGGCGCTAAAAAACTTCGCCTTTGCTTGGGTGGTAACTGAAATATCAAGTAACGAAACTAAAATTTGAAAATATTAACAAATGATAGAACTAAACTACAGGGTTCAGTGAGATCCCGTAACTTAAACCCTCTTCGAAACTAATGGCAGCAAATAAATGCAATTAAGCACTTGAACCAGCAATAAGCAAACGTATGTATGACAGAGGTGGCGGCTAGAGCCTAACTCTCCCTTTTCTCGTACCGAAACTCAGCTTTTAAATACTTCTAGCAAAGTAGAAATTTGCATTCCTTCAGGCGCACTACAAAATTTAACTATTCTAGTGCTGACAATTAGGGGAATGAAGGCTTATAGGAAACTTTTTAAAATTAAATTTTAACTTGTCAGTTAAAATATAAATCCCTACAACCTTCAATGTGATGATTAGTGCCCTAAGTATAAACAATTTAAAGCTTAAATTGGGGATTATAAGAAATCATTTCATGGCAATATGCCTACATAGTAAGAATCAACTATTCTTGCATATTGTAGTTATGTATGTCACGTAACCATTTATAGTAAGGAGAAAATTTGGTACTTGTGCCATTTGTTTTAGCACAATTTTTTTTCTCATTACTTTTAATCTAAACATAACTTGAGTTGTTTCTTTCCTTACAGCTGTCATTTAATTATTTCTTAAAATATATACACTAAAATGA